CCCAGAAAGAGACTCCAAACCGGACATCCTGCGGCTGCAAAATACCCAGGTGTCAAGAGCTAAAAATAGCTGCCACCCGGCCCCAGTGTGGGGAAAGGGGCCTGCTTGCCTCGCTGAAGGCCAGAGGGCCAGCTTTGCAGAGGGCCAGCTTTGCGGCTCTCACATCCAGCTTCCTGCTGGCGCACAGCCGCTGAGCCTGTGGAGCTAAAGTCCCCTCTCCCTGGACTGACAGGAGGCATTGTTGCGGCAGGCCCATGCCCCAGGCCACTCACCTGGGAGTCCAGCCTCTGTCCCCGTGCGGAGCTGGCCCTCTGCCTGCACGGCGGACCTTGCTTTAGGATGCTCACGAGAGAAGCTCCGAGGGACTTGGGAGCCTCTAGAGAAGGAAAATGGCAGAGCGCCCAAGAGCAGGGAAAATGATGGCAGAGCAGAAGATGAAGCCGATGCTCCCCCTAGACCCCCCAACCTGTCGCCAGCCTCATGGTCCCATGTGAAGTCTGAAATTGTTACGTGGAACCTGGGAAGCCAACAGTCAGTTGCTATCCAGAGAGGTGATTCTTCAGGATTGTCTTCATGGGGCCCCAGAGATGAAATAGGCAGCTCCTACCCCCTCACCTGCAGCAGGGGTGGGGTTTACTTCTGGTGCCAGGTTCTGTGGGGCTGTGTGATTTTTCAGTCTTTCCCTGTGCCCGGCTAGGGCCTGCCTTTGCTCTCTCGATGATGGTGTGTGGCGTGAAAGTGCTGGGCCGGAGTGGTGGAGTGAATTGGTTGAGAACATGGGTTCTGGAGCTTCATGGCCTGGGTCAAGTCCCAGCTGAGCCACTTCCAGGTTATATGACTTCAGACAAGGTATTTATTTAATGCTGCTGGGCCTCAGTCTCCTGGTCTATTTAATGGGGATAAAAACAGTAACCACTTCATTGGTTTGTCATGAGGGTGAGATGAATTAGCACATGTAAGACACTAAGAACAACTTCTGGCACATAGTAAGGTATTAGTCCGTGCAAGTTCAGGTGGAAGAGAAGGGGCTGGGACCAGGCGGGAGGGGCAGGGGATAAGAGATGGAGCTGGGGACTGCCTCTGGGAGGAAATGGATTGTGGTAGAGGAGGGAGGATGAAATGCTTATGCCAGAATGGAGGCTACAGACAAGTTCAAGGGCAAGCAGTATTAATCACAACCATTAAGTCAGCACCTAGCACATGCTAGGTGCTTCACACACAGCATTGCAAATCTCAGATGACTGCTTCCAAGCAGATTTTCTTAGGCTTTTATTACTTGGGCCGCTGAAGTTTGACCAGGTTACATTGTGTACCTGGCTCTCCCTGCTGGTCACCAAGGGAGTCAGTGTTTGAACCCAGGTCGATCTGACCTCAAGACCAATGTCCTGTATCCTCTGGACTTTTCACTTGCATCCCTTTGTGTGGCAGGAGTTTCCAGCCAGCTTGCAGCCCCCTGGGTTCTGAATAAATTTGAGCAATAAGCAGCTTAGTGCCAAGAAAGTGAGTAAGAGAATTTCTGGAAGGGGGATACAAGAAACTGTTTAAAAAAAAAGGGGGGGGTTGATTCTAGGAAAGTTCAAGGGAGTTGGATGAGTAAGAAACTTTGTTTCATATGTTTTGAGGCTCTTTGAATATTTTTAGTATCTATAAGTAGCATACTTTTTCATTTAAAAAAAAAAATAGGAGCTTTATTTTAAACTCCATGAAAGTGAGAACCAGGTTTCATTCCTATTTCCATCTCTTTAGCCCGTGAAGGAGTGGCCTCACCTGGAGGTACTCAGTACCTGCTCCTGGGGTCGATTTTTGGGGTTCCCCCCGCACCGGCCTGGCCTGGCCTGGCTGTACCACTAACCTGCCAGGGCACAGTGACCTCCCCCACCCCCGGTAAAGTGAGAGTGATGGCCTGAACAATCTAAAAGCCGCATCGGTCCCTAAAGTTCTCAGATCCTGTGACCCGAGTGCCTTCAAGAAGAGCTTCTCTGTGCTCAGCCCTCGCTTTGTGTCGGAGAGGCCAGGCAACCGTGATGTTCTTTCTGGTGTTTGTTTATTTTTGCATCTTCCTGAAGCCGTCTCACCCCCAGCTCTCCTTTTCCCTGCCAGCCCAACACGGAGTCAAGCTTTGTGCCGCCTGTGTCAGGGAAACAGGACCGGAGCCACCACGTGCGGTGTGAGGGGGCTGGCCCTGAACCCAGCACTTGGCCTCCTGCTGCTGCCTGCTTTCCTCTGGCTGCTGGGGCCTGGGTCTTCCTGCTCCTCCTTTTTGGCTAGTCAGGAGACCAGGCAGATGGAACAGCGTCAAAAAGGCTTTGGAGGTATTGGGAGGGGGCTTCTGGGTGGCAGAGCCCCTCCCTGACAAAGGGCCTGCCACACCTGGGAGAGCAGGTGGTCAGGCAGGGCTCAGGTTTCTGCTGGGCAGGTAAGGCCCAAGGCAACAAGGTAGGAGGGGAGACCAGCCCATGCAGGTGCCCAGGGGAAAGAAGAGCGGCCTTTGTGTCTGCTCTGGAGGTTTCCGAGGGCCGGGGTGGGCACACGAGGTGGGATTCCCACAGCTCTGCGGTTCGGGATGAGAGCAGGCGTTCCGGTTTGGGGAGCGGACGTGGCCAGCCCAGTGCCCCGCTGCCAGGTGCATGCCTCTTCGGTCCGGCTGGAGTTGCTTCCCATGATGGCAGAAGTGGCGGGTTGACAGGGTTCCAAAAAGGAGAGGTCTCCGTCCTGGCCAGGGGACGTGCGAAAAAGGGTCCATTCACTCCTGATCTTATTTCGGTTTGAACCCGAATTAGTGACAACAGTGCTCTGAGAGGGGCCACGGAGAAGAGGGGTCCCAACTGTATCCCCAACCCTGGGATAGAGCGTGTTCACTTTCTGCGTGTTCAGCCACTGACTGGGTGCCTCCTGATACCTTTCCTCCCTCTGGGACGCGGGAGAGCTGTTCCGCAGGTCTTATCTCTGTGCTCTAGGCTCTTCTGAACTCAAAGGTTGTCAGCATAGGGAAGAAGCAGAACCTTTTCCAGGAATTGCTTTTGGAAGCAGCCCCTGTTGGCAATACACACTCGTGTGCGTGCCCGCAACTTTTCCGACCATCGATCAGCATCGCAAAACGCCCCTTTGGGGCCAGGGAGCAAACACCGCAGAGTTCAGGCCCATTTGTTTCTCTCCTGTTCAGAGAGGGCATGGTGTCCGGAATTCGTGGTTCCCAGGGGAGGGAGGCGCAGAGAACCTGGCTCTGTTCCCAAGCGTGAATGCTGCTGACCAGCCCTCAGGCAGGGACAGAGGCAGTCAGGAGAATTTTCTGGAGGCAGGGACTCTAGGCCTGACATGGCCTCTGAGAGTGCACTCTGGAGCCTGGTTCAGAAACCTCTCTTGGGGAACCAGGTCCTACAGGAGAAAGAGGAGGCCCCGAGAGAGCCTGGGATACAGGTTGCCACGTCCTGGGGTGGAGAGGCTGCCTCCACCACCAGTGTTCCTTGGGGCTTACAGATCTTGAGAAATATTCATGCCATGTCCTAGGCATGGGGCCAGGAGAGAGTCATTATGTTCGATTCACCAGTTTCTAACAGAGCCTACTGTGTGCCCAGCAAGGTGCTAGGGACAGATGGGTATGGCCGACAAATGACACCCTGGAGATCATAATTCATGGAGTGTCCATGTGATAGACACAGAATGGGTACTCTGGGAAGCCAAGAGAGAGAGGTCAAGGTGAGCCTCATGAGGACGTGGGCTTGGACTAGACTTCAAAAGACAGGCCGAATTTGAATAGGTGGAGTGGCATTTCCCTACCAAACATTGTCATTCAAAGCATGGAGCCCTGGCGCTTGAAGGCAGATTGGCAGGAGTCTCTCTGTGCCTGGAGTTGCCCCCTCCCCCAGCAGCGCCTGCCTGCAGGGAGTTCTCCTTTTCAGCTCTAGAAGAGGAACTGGGGCTGCCCCTTGGACACAGACCCAGAAGAACAGCCCTCACCAGCTGTCCTCCAGAAAATATTCCTTCTGCCTGAAGAGGGCTTCCGTGATTTTGCCAAATGCCCCCTGCAGACGGCTGTCCGGTCTCCTGGCCTCCTGTCTCCTTGGCTCTGAGCTGGCACCGCAGGAGGGAAAGTGTCCATCGTGGACAGGCGGCCTCACGACTCATCTGTGTCTTCCCCCGCCCTATCCAGTCCCTTTACTCCTCAGGGCCCCTCTGCTGTTGGCCAGCTCTGGCCTTACCGTAGGGTTTCATGGCTTTTGAATTGGAGGGGGTTCTGGGCTGGGCTTAGGAGCCTGGGACAGGTGGCCATTTCTAGAAGGAAACACTTCTGTTTTCCAGTTATTCATGAAAAAGGCTGAGTAGTTCTCTTCTCTTGGGGAGCAGAGTGCAGGACACAGGATGGAGCAGTAGGAGAAAAGGGGTACCAACTATGGGGTTCTCAGGCTGTGCATTCCATCACTTCAGGGCTCCCACCAGATCTGACATGACCTCCAGGCCATGACCGGGCCCTTCCCGCACTGTGGATGCCTCTGTGGGCTCAGCTCCCCTCCTCCAAGCCTGCTTCTCCCTCGCCCTCGCCCTCGCCCTCCTGGCATCTTCAGCATGGTCTCTACAGGCCTCACCAGCCATGCCGTCCCACCTCCAGCCCCACCTCACCTCCCAGCCGCCTTCTCTCTCTTTGGTCCGGGAACCTGGGCCCAGGGAAGAGTGTATCTGAGCACATGGTGGGGGCTGAGGACTTCGTTGGGTGAACTGGGGCTGCCTCAGGTTCCCACTGTGGACTGAGCTCCTTCCTTCAGCTGTCTGAGTTGCTTAGTAGATCAGATGAGGAAGAGGAGCTGAAGATTGCGTTCATCCAGCATGAGAATTTGAGGAAAGGAAGGGGGTGGAGTCTTCTGTTTTGGTTGAACACGCTGGCGGAGGGGCCGGGACCTGGAGGGCTCTAGCTGGAGGGGGCCTCCTGGAGCGGCAGGGTGTCTGCCTGGCTCGGCCCTTTGCCTCCCCACAGCCCCTTGACTCCATCTCTCTTCTCTCTACAGATGGGACCCAGGTGACCCCGGGTGCCCACTGCCCCAGCCCCCCCCGCACAGGTAAGCGTCAGTCCTGAGGGAGACGGTGGTGGGAGGTGGAAGGTGAGGATAGAAAGGACCTGAGAAGGGAGAGGGAGCTGAGTGGTGGTTGGGCCAGGGAGCTGGGTGGTCCTCCAAGGAGGCAGGAGGTTGGGGTCCCGGGGCAGAGGGCGAAGCAGGGGTTTCATGGGAAAGGGGTGAGGAGTGGAGCTAAGGAGGCAACCCTGGATCCCGGCTGGCCCCAGTGCTAGGAAGCATGACAGGAAGAGGAAAGGCAGGATGCTCTTCTTGTCTTGCTGGATGCAGTGAAACAGGAAGGCAAGTAGGAAGCTAATGTTTATACTCAGGCCCCTGCCTCAGAAGGCTCATGCTCTTGACTGTTGACTCTTTCAGTGCAAGGTGGGCACGGCAGCCCGTGCAGGATCGGAGGTGCCTTGTGCTGCTTGGGAGGGAGGGGAAGGACTGCTCCTCCTGCTTCTCTCACCTTCCTTGTCTCCAGCTCTGGCCAGGACAGGCCTGTGGCCTGGGGCTGGGGCTGCATGCAGGCTGCCTCTCCTTAACTTCAGCCAATATCCACTGAGGGCCTATTTGGTACATACCCGATGCTTAATAGGTACCCGTGGCAGGGAGAAATGCAGGCCCGACTTCCGCATTGCTTCCATCCTGGCTGCCCAAGAGCTTATAGGCAGGTTGAGGAGATAGGACACATGAATAAAAAGAAAAATTGTAGTATATTACAATATGCGGCCAGTGCCAAACGAGGGGACAGCTGATTAATATGTTCATCCATTCATTCAGAACACATTATATTCATCACCTCTTATTATTTAATCTTCATAGATGTGCAATTTTCTAAAAATTAAATACGGAAATTAGAAAAAAAAACATTAATGAACCCCGTCTCTGTGCCAGGGCACCTTCGTAGGCATTTTGGGGGAGATACAGAGGTGTATTCATTGCTTTGGCTGGTATTTATTGGGTGCTTGTCATGTGGTAGGTACTGTTTTAGGTGCTGGATAGGGAACAATAAACAAAAACAAGTCCCTGCCCTGGAGCTTAACTCAGAGGCGGTCCCTGCCCACGCAATATTTATAGGGCACGGAACTGTCAACGTGATCGAAATCCATGGGGCGCTGGGCTGGGTCCGGGAAAGAGCAAAGACTCTCACTGGGCTTGGAAGAAAGGGTAGGATCTGGAAAAGTAGAATTGATCCCTGGCCAGTGTGGCTCGGTTGGAGTGTCATCCAGTATATCAAAAAGTCACAGATTCAATTCCAGGTCCGGGCACGTGCCTACATTGCAGGTTTGGTTCCCCGTGGGGAGGCACATACCAGCCGCAACCGAGCGATGTTTCTCTCTCACACTGATGTTTCTCTCCCTCTCTTCCCCTCTTTCTAATCAATAAGCACGTCCTTGGGTGAAGATTAAAAAAAAGAAAAAGGGGGGAAAAAAGAATTGAGGAGTGAGGACAGTACCGAGAGGGGGACATCGTGAGCAAAACCGAGGACAAAAGGCTTGTGGGCCGTGACAGGATGGGGGCTGATGGCTGTGATGGAAGGGCTGTGTTCAGTGTGGGAGGCAAAGGTGAGAGGGGCTGGGTTAGCGCCAGACCGTTCAGACCTCCAGATGCTAACTCGCTCTGGGAGCCGTTCCCACATTCCCCAGAAGCCTTTTGCTCTGGAGGCCATGGTGGCGCTGGGAGTGAGGAATGGGGCTGTTTACAGCCTGTGTGTGGCTGAAGCCGCTAGCTGCGAGTCCAGCGGCCTGCCTTGGCTTCCTCCAGGTCCCTCTGGCATCATTAGGGGAGTCACCCCAGGAAGCCAGGACACCAATGTCGAGGGATTGAGACTCTTCCTGGGGCCACAGTGTGTTGGCATTGGAAGCCTAGACTCAACCAGCATGACTCTGGGTTCCCTGGATAGATACATAAACAAGGGGTCGGGAATCGAAACTGTGAATTGCTTGCTATGGGCCACGTCTGGGTATACAGCTGTCCCCTCTGGTCTCCTGATATCATCTGGAGAGTTGTGTGAGCACCCCCTTGCTCTGCTCTTCTCGTCTCCATTTCACAGTGTGAGAATGTTCGAGCAGGTGCCCCTTGGTGACGGCCTGCTGTAGGCCCTTCCTCTTTGCCCAGTGAGAAACCCCCAGACAACTCCCTGAAAGGTGAGGGGGAAATGCAGCTGGAGCACTGGCCTCGGCAGGTTCTCAATCTGCCCTGAGCAGGGAAGCCTTCACCTGAGCCTCAGTTTCCTCATTTGGGACAACAGAATAGTAACAAGTATTTCCCAGGGCATATGTGGATGCTGAGGTAAGAGGGTTTTGAGGCCACACGTACACATGTTTTACAGATGCTAAGATAATGACTAGTAATGGTTGAGTTAGGCCTGGTCAGGAGGTCGGTTTCCTGACCGCCCGGCTGGTGCGTTGCCATAGTGCCTTCCAGTTCCCCCCAGCCTCAGGCCCTGAGGACAGACTGGGGCTGTCCTAATGGGGGTTGCTCAGCACTGCATGAGCTGAAGGAGGCCTCTCCAGAAAGGTTTCAGTGCTTGCGTGCTCCGTCTGAGGGCACCTGCTCCCACCTCCACCCGCCTCCCCTTCTCTGGGAGTAACTCCGGCTGCCCAGCTCAGCCTGGCCTAGCTGGCTGTGCTGGTGGAGAACCTGGTCCAGCAGCTAGTTATAAATAGCCCCTGCACCCACAGCCTTGCCAGGGTGCTCCTGGCGTGGGTGCAGAGGACACTTGAGAAGAGGCAACTGAGCTGAGCCCTCACCACTGCAGGCCCAGAGCTGGCGTGAGGGCGCCCGAGAGAAGGCTCCCTGGGCACGTGGGCTGTGCAGGCCTGGGGTGGTGGCCAGCGCCTGGCTGTAGGTTTGAAGCTGCGCTTCTTTATCCTATGGCCTGGGATAGAGTAGGGAGTGTGGTGGCTGAGAGGGCCAGTGAGGCCCTTTGGGATTGAAGGCTGAATAAAAGGGGACTCTACCAGTATGATCTCTCTGAACACAGCACACTGGGGGCCACTGGGCCAAACCCTCATTCCAGCAGGACAGAAGGGAAAGACAGGGCAGGGCTCAGAATGTACCGCCAAAGGGCTCTCAGCCCATCTCTAAATCCCTACAGCCCTAGCCTTCTGCCTGGAAAGGCAACATATTTAGGACTGTGGTGAGGATGAGGTGAGGAAAAGGCCCCTAGAGCACGTTTTGTCGTTTTGAGTCAAGTGAGCCTGAAGGAGGCGGATGAGGTTGTAGCCATGCACCTACAGACAAACTTCCCTGCTGACCATGTTCCCTCTGCATCCTCAGGCTGCCCCAGGCCCCGTGCAGACACGCCAGACTCTCAGCCCCAGCCCATGGACCTGCGGGTGGGCCAGCGGCCCCCGGTGGAGCCCCCACCGGAGCCCGCACTGCTGGCCCTGCAGCACCCCCAGCACCTGCACCACCACCTCTTCCTGGCAGGCCTGCAGCCACAGCGCTCGGTGGAGCCCATGAGGGTAAAGATAGAGCTCTCTGCACACGAGGCAGCCTTGAGCTCAGCCCCCAGACCTCCTCCCTCCCTTTAGCCTCCCCCCAGACCCTTGGCTCAGTCCTCAACTCCTTGCTCCTTCCTGGGCGGCCGGCCCTGCCCACAGCTCCCAATGGACACGCCGATGCCCGAGCTGTCGGTGGGGCAACAGGAACAAGAGCTGCGGCAGCTTCTCAATAAGGACAAGAGCAAGCGAAGTAAGGATGGAAGCCGCCCCCGCCCGGTGTCCATGGCTCACCCACCTGCGCTTGTAAAGCCTGGGGTGGGACTGACGCTTAGGTTTCCCTCTGCGTGACGGGCTCTGCCTGTGAATGTCAGTGGGGGTGGGAGTGGTGGGGGGGCGGGTCTGGGGTGGGCCTCGGACTTGGCCCTTGCCTGAGGAATCCCTGGGACACCTTGTACTGGGGATGTGGACAGGGCCATGGGCAGAGACTGTGCCGGGAGGCCACCTGTCCGCCCACCCAAAACCCAGTCATGGTTTTCTGCCCCTGCAAGGTGCTGTGGCCAGCAGCGTAGTCAAGCAGAAGCTGGCAGAGGTGATTCTGAAGAAACAGCAGGCAGCCTTAGAGAGAACGGTCCATCCCAGTAGCCCCAGCATTCCCTACAGGTAACCCCCTCTCCCACCTGCCCCCTCGTGTGCCTGCCGTGCTCTCTCCTCCCTACACGTCTTCCTGTGAGCGCTCCTGTACCCCTTCTCTTCCTCCCAGCTGCCCACCACCTGACCTGTACACCTCGCCTCCCTTAGTAGTGCCTGTTCCAGTCCCCTTTCCCAACTCACACCTGCCCTCTTCTCTCCTTCCACTCTCTCTCCCCCTCTGCAACCTGAGGCTCTTTCTCCTTGTGCACACCACCCCTCCCTCCCAACACTGGCTTCCTTTTGCCACATAAGTCCCGTCTGTTTTTGTGTCTCCCGTAAGCACAAAAATATCCTGGTTCCTAGAGCAGGTTCCTCCCACTAGAGACAGTCCCCAGTGTGTCTGGGACCCTGGCTTCTCTGTCTAGGCAGGAGGCCTGCATGTGGGCTGCTGGTCGGATGGGTGGCCCGATGCTGCCACCCGGAGATGGCCCCTGTTCCTGCCGGTCCCACACTGCCTACCCTGCTGGCGGCCCCCTCCCCTGGCCGGTCCATGGCCATGCTCAGAAAGGGGCCCCCGAGGAGTGAGGTGGCGGCCAGGCCGCTGGACATCCCCGCCCCTCTGAAGCAGCCTTGGCACTCACCCCACAGAACTCTCGAGCCCTTGGAGACGGAAGGAGCTGCCCGCTCCATGCTCAGCACCTTCCTGCCTCCTGTTCCCAGCCTGCCCAGTGACCCCCCGGAACACTTCCCTCTGCGTAAGACAGGTGAGTGGGACAGGCAGGCAGGGGACGCGCCCCTGAGGAGTTAAGGGGGTGGGCCGTGAACATGGGATGGCTGGGAGGAAAGGCTAACGGGCAAAGGTGAGGAGGGTGGGTGTGGGGCTGAGTAACGCTGGTGCTCCCACAGTCTCTGAGCCCAACCTGAAGCTGCGCTACAAGCCCAAGAAGTCCCTGGAGCGGAGGAAGAATCCACTGCTCAGAAAGGAGAGTGCCCCGCCCAGCCTCCGGCGGCGCCCTGCGGAGACCCTCGGAGGTGAGGACCAGCAGTGTGGGTGAGGAAGACTGCTCTTGTCCTTTTGGATCAGGTCCCACCAAGAGGCATCCCTTCCTCGGGTTACCGTGGGTGGTTGTACAGGGTGTGTCCTACACGCTTGCCAGGGGATGAGTTGGAGCTGAAAGGCAGGCCCTGCTCTGTTGGTTAAGCTGACTTCTGCCCAGAAAAGGTGCCTTAAAAAAGTGTCCAAAGGCTAGTGGTGGCCTGCCTTCTTCCTGCCCTTCCGGGAGGAAAGCAGGAAGCAGAGGCCGCCCTCCTGGCTACCGGCTGCTGCCTGGTCTCTGACTGAGCCTCCCTCTCTCCCCAACCCTCAGACTCCTCCCCCAGTAGTAGCAGCACACCTGCGTCAGGGTGCAGCTCTCCCAACGACAGCGAGCACGGGCCCAACCCCATCCTGGGCTCCGAGGTAAGGCCTTGCTGGCTGGACTCTCCAGAGGCGGTTCTGAGGCTCAGCCTCCCTCTCAGCAAATGGCCCTGACCAGGCTGGGGCTGCTGGGTCTGGCAGCCCCACCCGAGCCTCCTGGGTGTTCTGGGGAAGGTGCGCCCAGGGGTGAAGGTCTGGGACCAGTGACCCCTGCCCTGCTCCCCATGGCAGGCGCTCTTGGGCCAGCGGCTGCGGCTGCGGCGGCAGGAGAGCTCCCTGGCCCCGTTCGCCTTGCCGACAGAGTCCTTGCTGCCCACAATCACGCTGGGGCTGCCTGCCCCTGCCAGGGTGAGTGGCTGAGGTGCCCTCCCCCATGCCAAGCTCCCTGGTTTCCTTCATTCCCTTCTCCTGCTGCCTCACCCCATCACCTGCACTGTTCTCTCTGCTGGAACCTGCTCCCCTGTGATTCCTTCCCACCTCTCCCCTAGGCTGATGGTGACCGCAGGACCCACCCAACTCTGGGCCCTCGGGGGCCGGTCCTAGGGAGCCCCCATGCTCCCCTCTTCCTGCCCCACGGCCTGGAGCCTGAGGCTGGGGGCACCTTGCCCTCTCGCCTGCAGCCCATTCTCCTCCTGGATCCCTCAGTCTCTCACACCCCCCTGCTGACTGGTGAGTCCCACTGCTTCTCCAGGGGAGGGGCCGGATCCCTGCACCCTGGTAGGGTCCAAGCTTGGGACAGGTCCTAGTCTTCCTGTCCCCTCTGCTGCCCCCTCATCTTTCTGTGCGTCTCCCTGCTGAGTCCCTGCCCCCCACCCATGCCCTTGCTTCTTTCCATTCTTCCCTATGGTTCCCTCCTTATGCCCCTCCCACCACGTTCTTTCCAGTGCCCGGGCTTGGGCCCCTGCCCTTCCACTTTGCCCAGTCCTTACTGACCACCGAGCGGCTCTCCGGGTCAGGCCTCCATCGGCCGCTGAGCCGGACCCGCTCAGAGCCTTTGCCCCCAAGTGCCACCGCCCCCCCATCACTGGGCCCCCTGCAGCCCCGCCTGGAGCGGCTCAAACCTCACGTGCAGCTGATCAAGGTGAGGGGAACTGGGCAGGGGAGGTGGTGAGGGGTTGCTTAACTGGGCCCATGGGGGCTGAAAGAAGAAGGGAGGCTTTGGAACGGCAGGGACCTGGAGGGCCAGGGTGAGGCTGTGTTCGCCGGGGGCCGAGAGCTGCATGGCCACTGGAGTCTCAGCCACCTAGCCCACCACGTCCCACCCCGCACCCCACACTCCAGCACGGCTTCTCAGCGGGCCTCTTCCCTCCTCAGAGGCCAGCCAAGCCGAGTGAGAAGCCCCGACTGCGGCAGATCCCCTCGGCGGAGGACCTGGAGACGGATGGTGGGGGCGCGGGGCCCCTGGGGGATGACAGCCTGGAGCACAGGGAGCTGAGCCACGGGCAGCATGAAGCTAGAGGCCCCGTTCCTCTCCAGCAGCACCAGCAGGTACGGCAGTGCCCACGTGCCCCCTCGGAAGGTGTAGTCAGGAGGTGCTGGGGCCTGGCACAGGCGGAACGGAGGGAGATAGGATATTAGTGTAGGGACCGGCTCTGAGACCGTGGTTGTCCTGCCAGAGCCACACTGAGGTGCGGAAACACGTGCACGCACGCGTGCACCCGTGCACACACACACAGGCGCAGGTACACTCAGGGTGAAGCTGTCCCTTGTCCAGCAGTGGGGCCAGCCTTTCGTGGGGCCAGACACACTTCTACCCTAGGGCTTCTCCCTGGGACCAGTTGTACTGATTCCAGGAAGGTGGCTAGGGCAGGAAGTAGGGCAGAGCAGGCTCAAGTGCTTCAACCAGAGCACCCTCACCCTGTGAGTCAAGCCTGGGGTAAGAGTTTCCTAGGGCTGCTGTAACAAGTACTGCGCACTGGGGGGCTTAAACAACATTCATTGCCCCCGGGAGGCTGAAAGTCTGAAATCAAGATGTTGGCAGGGTTGGCTCCTTCTGAGAGCTGTGAGGGAAGGAGATGTTCCGGGTCTTCCTCCTTAGCTTTTAGACGGCTGTCTTCTCCATGTGGTTTCACGCTGTCTTCCTTCTGTCTATGCCTGTGTCCAAATTTCTCCCCTTTATAAGGTAAGAGTCATATTAGTTGAAGGCTCCCTCTAATGACCTCATGTTAACTCGATTACCTCTGTACAGACCCTGGCTCCACTTAAGGTCACGTTCCGAGGTACTGGGGGTTAGGATTTCCTTCATAAATATGAAGTGGGCCCATAAGACGTGGTGACAGTCCCCAGATATGCAGTGGCTCATGCAGATCCCCATGTCCTTGGGCAGTTGCCCAGCCCTTGGAGATGAGATCCTGGTCCGAGCTGGGCCTGCGCTCCCTCACCTGGAATCCTGAGGGCCCAGGGAGCTCTGGGGGATTGGGGTGGTCAGTCTAGGATGCAGACCTTTGGGGGGCTGGTAGGGTAGGGAGCTTGGAGTCAAAGGCCAGAGCCTGGCTGGGAGGCAAGACTAGAGGCATCCTGGAATCTCTCCAGGAAGGGGGCCTGTGTGGAGGTTTCTGACACTTTGGGCAGAAGCACAGGGAGCAGGATTCTGAGAACCTGGAGACTGAGACCCCTTGTATCTGCCAGGTGTTCCTCTGGGAGCCACAGCGACTGGCCGGGCGGCTCCCCCGGGTAGGCACTGGAGACTCCTTGCTGCTCCCCCTGGCCCAGGGCGCCCACCGGCCCCTGTCTAGGACTCAGTCATCCCCAGCCGCGCCTGCCTCACTGCCGACCCCCGAGCCCGCCAGCCAGGCCCGTGTTCTGCCCAGCTCAGAGGCCCCTGCCAGGACCCTGCCCTTCACCACAGGTAAGGCCTGGATTAGAGTGGGCAGAAGGGAGGGGGCGGGATGCACAGACACGTGGGCACCAGAGCATGTCTGTGCGATGCTTCACTCAGGACGTCTTTTGAGGCCAGAGAGTACTTTCTTGGTCTCATTAGATCCACACAGTGTCCCTGAAGCAGGGGGTGGTTCTCATTTTGCACCTGAGAAGACCAGGCTCAGGAAATCTGAGGTGGCAAGCTTGTGGTCAAATAGCAAGCTGGCAGCCAGGCCAAGCTAAGGGTTGTCAGGATCTCCTGACAGCTGGTTCAGGCCTTTCGAAAATGGTATTCATTGTTTTTGCTCTGCTTGTAAAAAGAGCTCAAAAGAATTTTTAGAAGTTTTGAAAACTGTAGAAAAGCATAAAGATAGAATAAAAATCGCCAATTAATATCCCACCATCCCGAGGAAACCACTCTTTATTTTTTTAAAGATTTTATTTATTTGTTTTCAGAGAGAGGGAAAGGGAGGAAGAAAAAAGGGAGAGAAACATCGATGTGAGAGAAACACATCAATTGGCTACTCTTGCACACCCCCAGCCAGGGGACCTGGCCCACCACCCAGGCATGTGCCCTGGCTGAGAACTGAACTGGAAGCCTTTTGGTTCACAGGCGGGCGCTCAATCCACCGAGCCACGCCAGCCAGGGCCAGAGGCAACCACTCTTAAGTGCTGATATATTCTGTCTGCTTTGTTCTGGCCATATGTACACATACAAATGCCACATATACCATATACACATTGTACCCTGGTTTCATTCAGTTAGCGTATTACGAACACTTCATGATATAATTAATCTTTAGAAGTGAGATTTTTACAGTATTTCATCATAGTATTTTATTTTTACTTAAAGGTTTCTTACTAGTTGGGCAGTTCGTTGCTCATTTTTCCTTATTTGAATTTCCTTGTACATAAATCTTCCCTCACCCCTGGGGTTGTCTTCTGAAGGTCACTCTTAAGCAGTGGCATCCTGGGGTCAAATGGCTTGAGCATTTTGAAGGTCCCTGATGTCCCGAGACTTGCTGAAAGTGACCGTCCCACTGGCAGTGTACAGGGTCCTCTTCTAGGCGTCCTGCTGAAACAGTCGCTTCCCTAAAACTGCATCTGTCTTGTCACATGGCCCAGTGTCACTGTGGGCTTCCCAGCTCCCAGTTTGGGGGTTTCTGACGAATTCTTTCTCCTCTTGCTCCCCCTCAGTAGCCTTATCTGAGTCAAGACAGCCAGTGTGAGAGCCCATCAGGCCTCCTTTTGTTAGGCTTGCAGTTCTTGAGGTCATGGTAGAGGCGTTGGTCACATGAGGCGTGCCCGTGTGTCAGCAAGGCCGTGGCCATGTAGCAGTCGTGTTGGCTGGGGCTGTGTTGGTGTTTGTGTGAGGTAGTGAGGCTGCCTGGTAAGCAGCTGCGGGCGTGAGTTGATGTGAAGGGCCAAGGTTCAGGATGGGGTAAGGGGTGTGTGCGCCAGGCCTGCTTCCGGTGGGAGGTATGGGGCTGACACTGGGGATGCCCTGGGGCCCTGGCTCTGACCCCTGCCTCTGCCAGGGCTGGTCTATGACTCGGTCATGCTGAAGCATCAGTGCTCCTGCGGAGACAACAGCAGGCACCCAGAGCACGCGGGCCGCATCCAGAGCATCTGGTCCCGGCTGCAGGAGCGGGGACTCCGAAGTCAGTGTGAGGTGAGGAGGCGGGGTGGGGGTTACAGGATTGAGGCAGTGAGAGTAATGGAAGGGAAGGGGGTAGAGGCCCTGGAGCCAGCATGAGATGAAGGGACTGGCCAGCTGGTGGTAATGGCGGGGACGGGGGCAAGCAGGGCCTCAGGAGCTCTGTGGGCCCTTCCTCAGTGTCTCCGGGGCCGGAAGGCCTCCCTGGAGGAGCTGCAGTCGGTGCACTCCGAGCGGCACGTGCTCCTCTATGGCACCAACCCGCTCAGCCGCCTCAAACTGGACAACGGGAAGCTGGCAGGTAGGGGCCCAAATAGCGCCGGGGGCCCCTGTACCTCCCCTGGCTCACCTAGCCCACCCAACCCATCTCTCATCTCATCTCTGCCCAGTCTGTCTCTCCCGCGCTCTCAACACCCCCACGCCACCCCCTGTCCCTCTGCTGCCCGCCCCTACCTTGCCTGCGCACCTGCCCCAGACCCCTTTTCGGGGCCTCCCTGCTTCCCGGCCAGGCCAGAGGCCACGAGGATTCAGCTCACACACACTGGGCCTCTCCCTACAGGGCTCCTGGCACAGCGGATGTTTGTGATGCTGCCCTGTGGTGGGGTTGGGGTAAGTGTGCCCGGGGGTCTTGAGCGGGCATTGCACGGGCTCTCAGATCTCCTCGTTTCCACTACCCCAGGCTCAGGCCCAGGCCCAGGCCCTGCCTGCTTGTTCTTGTGGTTCTGCCAGACCCAGCGGGCAAGGGGCTTTCCCATAATGCCCCTCTGCTGGCTAGGTGCTCCTTGTGGACAGGTGTGTCCTCAGTCCCCCAGTGTCACCTGAGTGTGGAGCCCTGTGCCTCACACTTAGACTGTGCTTGGTAAATGTTCAGTTAGTTCGAAGAGTAGGGCCCACATCATTTCCCTTACAAGACCCCAGGCCCCGGGGGTTGGGACCGGCCGTTCCACTGGAGCGAGCCTCCAGGCAGAGCCAGGGCTGCCTGGGCTGGGACTGTGGGGGTGCCTCCCGTGTCCTTGGGGACCCAGGCGCTTCCCTCCCACCCACCAACTTTCCCCCCTCTCTCCTTACCCTGCCTGGGGGGCTTCCTGCCCCCCTAGCAGTGCTCTCTTTGCCTCAAAAGGTCCCTGCAGCGGTTTCCCAGCCAGGTGTGTGGAGGCAGGGGATGGAGGCCTAGTCCTGAAGGGAAATGGGAGCTGTAGCTGGGGGGACTGTTGGGAGCTAGTCAGCGCCCTATTCACAACTTCCCATTTCTTGCCACTTTCTGATTTTTCCAACTGTTTTTGCTTCTGTTTTCTCTTCCCTCCTCTCCCTCTCTGTCTCTCTCTTTCTCTCTCTTTCTCCAGCCTCTTGAGACTCTCTCTGCCTTCCTCGCCTCTCTTGGTCCGCCTCGCCCTCCCCATCTCCCCATCATGCCCCCCGGCCCCTCCCTAGCCTTGAGGCCCAGGGACTGGGTTTGGGGGGCCTCCCAGCCTGGGCTAGGGGCCCTGAGTGGAAGACAGTGGTGCAGACGGCCCCTCGAGCTCCGACCGTCCCGCAGGGCCTGAGCAGAGCCAGCTGGGGCTTAAAACCCGCTCCTGGCCCAAACCCCAAGTCCCGCCCAGGTAACGCCATGCCCCCTCCTCTGACCGGGGAGGCAGGCGCGATGCCGCCCGCACAGTGCTGGCCAAATACGGGCTGGTGATGTGGACTGAAGCTGGGAAGGAGACGTCATGCTGGGACTGGGGGATACAGGAGGCCTTGCCTTTGGGCGGTGGGGCACTGGGGAGGCAGCGCTGTCTGCCCAGCTCCCTGCCCCTGGGGTCCTGGCCATGGGGTGGGCACCACCCATGGGCCCTGGCTCCTGTGGGAAGCCTTGGATGATGCGGGCCCTGACTCTGGCTCCCACAGGTGGACACTGACACCATCTGGAATGAGCTGCACTCTTCCAATGCAGCCCGTTGGGCCGCCGGCAGCGTGACCGACCTGGCCTTCAAAGTGGCTTCCCACGAGCTGAAGGTAGGAGATCTGGGCTGAAGGCAGGCAAGCCATGGAAGAAGTAGCAGGATGGGGTGGCAGGGAAGGCCAGACCCGGAATCCCAACTATCTCCTTCCCCTGGGATAGCACCACAGTGTTTTGGAAGGGAAATCGAGAGTTCTGGGAACCAGAACGAGCACTGAACCAGGCTCAGGTTACTTGGTGGAGAGCCCAGCCACTGTGATCCAGGACCTTGGATCACTACGAGATGCAGAGTCGCAGTCATGCAGGATCATTTAACACAGACCCAGTGTGTGACCATAGGCAATGTGCAGAGCATCCCCGGACCTCCGAGCACTGGCCAATAGGTCCTTTGCCGTGCTGAAGTTTTATAGGCCGAGTTGGTGCTCTGGGCTGGGCACCTCACAGGGGCTTGTCCTGAGGTCCACCCCTCCCCCCATGGCTTAGGAGCTCAGCCCAAGGAGGGCCCGGGGCCCTCAGTGTCATTGCCCCTTGGCGGGCCTTTTCAGTTAAGGGAGCAACCCTGGGCTTAAACTCCTGGCTCCACCTTTTACAACCAGGCAACTCGGCACAAGTTGCTTACCTTGCCTAAACTTCAGATTTTGCACGTCTGTGAACTAGATGGAGATGTTGTGAGGATTAGATAACATTTACCTCAAGAGATGTATTTAAGATGAAATCCAGTGTTTATAAAGTGCTTAGCACAGTGCCAGGCACATAGTTTTGCCTCAACAAACAGCTGTTGTTATTACAAAGTGCTAACAGCCAGGGCACGCTAGGGCAGGGGGTTTTGTGTCCACGTCCAGCCGGAGAGCAGAGGATGCTCGGCCTGGGGGGTGAGTGCTGGGGCGCTTCAGAGCCATCCTGGCCGCAGTCAGCTGTTTCCCTATGACTTCTCCTCTGGGGAGGAGCCTGGGGCTGGGGACAGGTTCATGGAGATGAGGTCAGAGGGCTGGCTGTTTGGTTGATAAGCCTTCTTTCCATTTCAGAACGGTTTTGCTGTGGTTCGGCCCCCAGGACACCATGCGGACCATTCCACAGCCATGTAAGGCCCGGAGGAGGCTTAGGTTGGGGGAGCCTTCTGGGGCTGGGCCAGGCCAGGAGCGAGTGGAGAGAGGAGGCTGGAGAGGTGGAGGCACGGGAGAGAATGGGCTGTCAGGACCTCTTTTCCCTCCTCCCAGGGGCTTCTGCTTCTTCAACTCGGTGGCCATTGCCTGCCGGCAGCTGCAACAACAGGGCAAGGCCAGCCGGATCCTCATTGTGGACTGGGTAGGTGTCGGAGCCCAGGCCCTGCCGACCTGAGAGCCCTGGGGACAGAGCCCTGAGCCTGGTGTCAGGAGATGTCGATTCATGTCCTAGTTCTGCATAGGCCTCCTGAGCCTCAGTTTCCCCTTTTGTGTAAAGTGTGGGTGAAGACAACCGCCCCCCCCCCGCCCCATCACAGGGGCTGGTAGGACATGTGGTGAATGGAAAGACCTCCAGCTGTGGCAGACTTCCATGATGGGAGGAGCCATTCGAGTGCTGTTGTTTGGCCTCTTCTGGCTTCTTTCTGCAGATCTAATTTCTTCTTTTCCCCTGTAGGTAGTGGACAATAACAGCCACAGCAGATAACATTAACATACCACTAATCTCATGTGGACACTGATAGTTTTTACATGAGATATATTTAATCCTGACTATAACCCAATTTTCAGATAAGGAAAGTGAGCACAGAGAGGTTAAGTAACTTGCACACAGCCACCCACCTAGTACATCCTGAAACTGGGAGTTGAAACCAGGTGTATTCTCATATTAGCTCCAGAGTACATGCATCTAACTACTAAGCTAACCCACTCTGCATTGACATCTGTGAATGGGACATTCCGATGCAGAAGCTGACAGTGGAAGAGCTTTCGCACCCATGCATGGTCCTGTGAAGTTACCAAGTGCAAGACCATAGCTATTTCTAGGACGCGTGGTGCTGGGCCTTGTGTACCTGCCCCTTAGTAGCTGAGCTTGGTCTCTAATCGCCTGCATCACTCCGTGACATTGGACAAGACAGCAGTGAGGGTTTCAAAACCCTTCCAACCTGTTCCAGTCTCCATCTCTCTGCTTTCAGACCCTCCCTAATCCACTGCCCATCTCCCACACAGGACGTTCACCATGGCAATGGCACCCAGCAAACCTTCTACCAGGACCCCAGTGTGCTCTACATCTCCCTGCATCGCCATGACGATGGCAACTTCTTCCCAGGCAGTGGGGCTGTGGATGAGGTAACCCACCACATGTCGGGCCTACCCCTTCCAGCCTCTGTCCCACATGACCCTTTCTCTGCCTCTGTCACAACAAGCTGTGTGATCCTGGGTAGATTGTTTAGCTTCTCTGGATTCTTCATCTGTAAGTGAAGGGGATGCATGAGCTGGTCTTGCAGCACTAGCATCCTGGCATCCCTCGGCTGGGACGCTGCTCTCCTCATGTCTCTCTTGTGTCCCATTTTCCAGGTGGGAGCTGGCAGCGGTGAGGGCTTCAACGTCAACGTGGCCTGGGCCGGAGGTCTGGACCCCCCAATGGGGGATCCTGAGTACCTGACCGCCTTCAGGTAAGTGCTCTGGAGGCCCAGAGGAGGCCCAGCCCGTCAAGGCCACCCTCCGCTGTCCTTTTTCCCAACAGCACCAGGTTGGAGGAATCAGTTGACTTCTCAGCCTGTCCTCATTCAATTACCAGACATTATAAGCCAGGCCCTGAACCAAAGCAAACAAAAGGAACGACACTGTTACACTGACCTCAAGTAGCTTTCAGTCCCAATGGGAAGACAGGAAACAGAATGAAAAAGTCAAAGGGTGCTTTAAAAAGTCACATATCACCAAGAGTGCTGGGTGATGGGCAGAGTGGAGTGAGCAGAACAGCCACATTTAATCAAAGAAAGCTGCCTGGAGGAGGTGGGCTTTGTGCAGAAGATGAAAGACTTAAATTGTGAAGACAGAGGGAAAGCAGATGACGTCCATATAGGGGGAGTTGCTTAACAAAAGCCATTCTAGAAGAGCAGCTTGGGGCTCTGTTGAGGAGCCCTTCTATATTCCAGTTTGGGGGCCCCTCTACCCCATTTGGGAAAAGGGACCCTGGAGGTAGGTCTCCAAATACTTTTCTGGAGATATTTTCCATCAGAGCCAGTTCTGTAGGAGCCCTGGACTGGGTTCCTGGCATCTGCGTGCCCGTAGCCCAGGGCCTTGAAAGACACCAAAATGGACCCTAGAGGTGGGTCAAGGATGGAGGGAGGCAGCTGTTGGGGTGGCTGAGGAGGAGAGGATGGATCTGGGCAGCCCAGGATCTCAAAGTGTAGTCACCCTGGTCAGCTCTCAGGTGGTGAGTGGCGAGGTGTGGTCAACTCAGTCCAAAGTGGGTGGCAACTAAGTACCGAGTGCTTCTAGTCTCTGAGGCTTAGTAGCTTGTCCCTTTCCTGTCACCACGCCCACTGCACTCTACAGACACACACATTTCTCCTCTTTTATTCCCTCTGGTTTCCCATCCTTGGCTTCTTCCTGCCTTGTGCCAGTTACGAGCACTGGGTAGCCGAGTCCCTAGGCTGTGCCAGGGACCTGGGTGGCCAGCCAAGGTCAAGGAAGTCAGGGGGACCCACTAATACTTGTGGGAGATTGGATATCTGGGAGTTCTGAAAACAGGGTGCCCACAGTAAAGTTGGCAGGATCAGGCTGGCTCCAGGTGGGGACCTGTGGCCCCGTCCCCAGCAGCCCTGCACGGTGTGGTGAGCCCTCCTTCTTGCACCCTCACAGGAAGGTCGTGATGCCCATCGCCCGAGAGTTCTCTCCAGATCTGGTCCTGGTGTCGGCTGGGTTTGATGCTGCCGAGGGTCACCCGGCCCCACTGGGTGGCTACCATGTTTCCGCCAAATGTAAGGACGGCCCAGCCCATGGGAATGAGACCTAGGCTGGGAGGGGAGGGCCGCCCAAGGCAAGGGGAAAGCAGCTGGGTCCAGCCCAGGACCGTGAGTATGAGGACTGGGGTATGGCTGCTGGTCCTGGAATTCCCTGGGTTCTCCCAGCCTAGCGAGCCCAGGGCCCTTTCTCATGACCAGCTCTGTTCACCAGGGAAGGCTTGACTGAGTCACCCCCTGGGGACCCAGGAAGCTCAGCCATAGGACTCCCCAACCCTAACTGGGAGTGTCACTCCCAGACTGGGCTGGTAGCTTCTCCTGAGGGAGGAGGAGGAGGAGCAGTGTTCTCAGAACACAGAGGAGCCCACTCAGCCTTCTGGGCCGCAGGTCCTGTAGGGCAGAAAGAGAAGATGGTATGGCTCCGTGAAAAAGAAATCCTGCCGCCATCGCTGCCCCCAGTTCAAGTCCTAGCCCTGACATTCCCTGGCTGCAGACCTGTGCGCAAGTCCCTTAACCTCTCTGAGCCCTGAGTGAGGCATGCTAATAGGTTTTACATGGGACTCTGTGATGGTACTTGGGAAAGTAGAGAGTTTTGCATCTGTGTCATTATTTACAAGGCAAGAAGCAAGCAGGACATAATCTACCTCTCCGCCACCCCAACTCCCTCCTTCCTTCACCCCAACCAACTAGGTTTTGGGTACATGACGCAGCAGCTGATGAGCTTGGCGGGAGGTGCAGTGGTGCTGGCCTTGGAAGGTGGCCATGACCTCACAGCCATCTGTGATGCCTCCGAGGCCTGTGTGGCTGCTCTTCTGGGCAATAAGGTAAGTGGCTCACCCTGCTCCGTGCCTCCATGGGGCAAGGAGCGTGGGGCTCCTTGCTAAGGGCTCCCAGGCGGAGGGGGATGGCCAGGCCTGGGATGGGGGGCAGTGGCCGCCCCTTCCCCAGCTAAGGTGTGGAGCCAGCACTCCCTGCCCAAGGCAGAGCCAGAAGCACACGCCTGTTTGTGCCCCAAAAGCCGGGGCCCTTGGGGTGAGAGAGAGCTGGGCTGTGGGTCCTCGAGACTGGTGGCTGATGTACTCTTTTCTCCTGTAGGTGGATCCCCTCTCAGAAGAAGCCTGGAAACAGAAACCCAACCTCAACGCCATCCGCTCTCTGGAAGCTGTGATCCGGGTGCACAGTGAGTGTGGAGAGAGGGCGCCCACTGACCCCAGACTTGGGAGAAGCTCAGGGGGCTGTCCCCAGTGACCAGGGCCCCTGAGCTTCCACTGCCAGGAGCCCTGGCCTGGAGCCCTGGGGCTGGCCCGGAGTAGGCTTCCTGTACGTTACCTCAGGCGGAATGGCGGGGCAGCTGCCCCAGGAGTAGGTACCCTGGAGCCCTCAGGGAGGACCCAGCAGGGACCACCAGACAGGCTGCCTCAAGACAGGACTGACCTCCCATTTCCAGCCACGGACCCAGGCCAGGGCCAGGTGAACAGCTGCACTCACGCCTTGCTTGCTGAAAGTGCTGGCTCCCACCGTGACCCTCAGTCCCAGCTGCAAGGGACTTGGGACCTCTGCCTGCTTTGGGGGCTGGGTCTGAGAATAATCCCACACTTGGCAAACACCTTAAGTTTTTTTTTTCTTCAGCTCAGCGTCCATGGAGCGCTTTGCCTAAAGACCGTTGATCTGTGCTAGGGATACAAAAATGAAAAAATTAGATTTCCTCACACCTGGGGCTCAGTAGGGGAACGCAGGTAACATAAAAACGCTGCTGAAACTTTGTGCAGAGCCCTCACGCTGGGCCAGGCTCTGGGCGTGTTTCATGGACTTTAATTCTCACAACAGGCAGGGCGGGTGGGTAGCTTGCCGATGGCCATGCAGAGCAGCCGTGGTGACGGCCAGCTCTCCCAGTGCTGTGTCCTTCCCTCCTCCCATCCGCTCCTGTCCTGAGTGCTGGACTGACCATTGCTTGGGGCTGTGCTCCAGGAGGCCAGGGCTCGGGATCTATGAGGTCTCTCCGATTCAGACCCCATCTGGGGAAAAGTAGGCCCTGCTGGTGCTCTTCGGAACCCCGCTCCTATGGGAATAGGTCAGAGGCCACTTCATAGTCACACTGAATCTCCTCTGTCCCCCTTGTCAGGGCTCTGGGGGCCAAGTTGAGGAAGGCATTGTGTTGAGGGTAGAGGCAGGAGAGAGAACCAACCCCAGATTGAGGATCCACCCACTACTCTCAGGCCCGTGGCCTGCGATTGCAGTCTCAGTATCAGTCTAGAAAGTGTGGTGTGGCAGGCTGGAGGAACTTGTTTTCCCTAACCCTTTCTGACTTGGTGTCTTTTCCCAGGTAAATACTGGGGCTGCATGCAGCGCCTGGCCTCCTGTCCAGAGTCCTGGGTGCCCAGGGTGCCAGGAGCCGACGCAGAAGTAGAGGCAGTGACCGCACTGGCATCCCTCTCCGTGGGCATCCTGGCTGAAGAGAGGTAACGCCAGACCCCCCGCCAGCAGCACCCCCACCCCTTGGGCCCTCCCAGCTTGAGGATCCCAGATTCTGGCACGGCCGCCCCAGCCTCCTGAGCCTTCCTGAAGCTGGGCTGAGGCCCTTTCTGCAGCATCTGGCTTTTCCTCCCCCAGGCCCTCAGAGCAGCTGGCGGAGGAGGAAGAACCTATGAATCTCTGAGGCTTTGGAACGGTTCTGCCGGCCCACCCTGCCCTTCAGACCTGGTTCCCTTTTCACCTCTGGCAACAGCACCTGTTCCTAGGGTCTTCAGAGATCCTCTGGGCAGGTAGTTGTGGCCAGAGAACAGCCCCTTGATAGTCACCCTAAGGAGCCCAAGAAGGCCCCTGGGTCTAAGATAGGGACCAAAGAGGACCCTGAGGAGGCAGGCGAGGCAGCCGGTCAGGCCCCAGTAGGGCGCTCCCAAGAACAGAGTCTGCCCCTGTGGGGTCCAGGCCCCTGCTGGGTCCCCATTCCTCAGGACTGCATGGAGGAGGACTGGCTCAGTCGGGCCCACTCATGACCACTATTCTTGGCCCACAGACCCCCGACTTTGCACACAGCCCCAGGCTCCACACAGAAATGTGAACTTGGCCTCAGCCAGGGTAGCCTTTCCTAGGCTCTGAGGGCTGGACTGGGGGGAGGGGGGTGTGTAGGAGGAGTCAAGGGGTCCTGTATCCCTGAGTGCAGAGGGGGTCCTTCCTTCTGCCTGTCTACTCAGATGACTATGGAAGCCCCCCCAGTCCCCTGCCACCACCACCGGGCAGTGAAACAAAGCTCCCTCAGGAGCAGTCATCGGTAGGCCTCCCTTCCGGTCCCTGCCCCTGCCAGAGGCCCCCCTACGTCGACCATCTCAGTGCCCTGGTGGAGCGGACGGGTGCTCTTGGAGTTCTGTGCTTCCTGATCCAATGGTGCCAAACCCTCATCTCCCCTCAGAAGCACAGCGTGACCCCCAGGGATCCCTCGGTCACTGCCCTCCTCCAGGAATGTTCTCTTCTTGGGGTCTCCCCCACCCCAGTTCTGACTCCTGCCCCATATAGGACTAGCTTGGCTGAGGGGAAAGGGGGTGGGAGAGTAGATGCAAGACATGGGGGAGGGGAGGCTGCCCTGGCAAAGTCAAGGCTTCTGGGGTCCAGGCCTGGGGCCAAGTAAAGCGAGTGTATGCGTATGTGTGTGTCTGTGTGCGGACATATATGTGTCTTCCCTACGACTATGACACCCTGTGTATGTATGCATGTTTTTTGTAAAAAAGAAAAAAAAAGGGAAAAAAAATCTGAACAATAAATGTTTTATTTGCTTTAAAGGTGCATGTGATAGGGCATGCCAGCGATGAGGGGTGTGCAGTGGGCACACAGCGCCACGGCACAGCGTGCAGCATCTGATTCAATGTGGAGGAGAAGGGACCAGCCCCCCTCCAGCTCCTCGCCCTTTGTGGCCGTGGTCCTGCAGGAAGAATTGTTCTGAACACACCCTAGCTGCCCCTGCCTGCCCCACCTGGGGTAAGAAAGAGGCGGCAGCTTTGGGCTGAGTCCATAGAGGGCCCCCCGGGAGTGGGGGTGGATATAGAGTCGCTCAGACCTGGCTCACTAAGTCACCCCACACAGTCATCAATCAGACTTACCTGGGTTCCAGTCCCAGCTGGGAGATCAGATATGTTATTGTCACCTCTTGGGGCCTCTGTTTACCAGTTAAAAGTCTCCCAAAATAGATACTGTTTTTGGTTTCTGCTCTAAAGCACCATGACTTCTTAAGTGTATACTGAGCCTCAAAGAGAGAGCGGGTAAGGCAGCAGGCCCGGACAGGCTCACCAGTGCAAGCAGAGGCGACGGAGCCAGGGCAGCCTGCGCCTGTCTTTGTGGGTCTGATTGGGCCGGGCTTCTCCAGCCCACAGGAGCAGAGCCGCCTTACCTCAGACCTGGCCCCAAGCCCCCACAGCCTGGGGGAGTATGAAGGGAAGCGGGTTTATCCCCCTCCCATCTGTCCTCGCCTCTTGGGTGACTGACACTAAATCCCATGGTATGGCTGAGGCTGTACCCGTGAGCATCTTGGCCCTGGCTGGGGCTGTGCCAAGAGTTGGAGAGGAGAGCCAAGCTGGTGGGTTCCCCCACGCCAAGGGGACCAGAGGGGAAGAGCCTCCAGCCCCGGAGACACCAACCCCTCCCCTGCCCACCAGGGCACAATGTGAGCTAAGGGAACGGCTTCATGAGGTAACTGGAGACCCAGCCCCACCAGCCTTCCTGCCCCCTGCCCCCCCACCCCAAGAAACAGCTAGAGGCTGTCTGATACAAATGGTCGCTGTATTTCTGCTAAAGTGACAGTGACACAGATAAGGCAAAGAGCTGAGGGGGTGGACACAGGTGGGGAAGGGGTAGACCGTGCAAAATGACAACCTAACATAAAAAGACACGTGTACCAGTAGTCCCTTCCCTCTGAGTTAGGTGAGCCCTTGGGCTAGTGTCTGGGTGGAGAGCCGATTTTGCCCTTCAGAAGGGAGAGGAAAAAAGATACAAGCCCTAGGTGAGGGGCAATGACAAGGGGCAGGAGTTGGTGGGGGGCATCGCATGGCCGGGGGTGTTCTGGGTGATCCGGGTGTGACCAGGGGCAGGTGTGAGAAGGGGGCGTGGAAACGCAGGGCTGGAGGTGCGTAGGCACAGGTCTGAGTGGTCCTTTCAGCCTACATCATGCTGCCCCCTCCTGAAGCCCTTCTGGGGGCAGAAGCACCTTCCCCAAGACCCTTCATCTGGCCTCATTTGGGGAGTCCTGCTCTGAGGGGTGTGGTGCGTGTAAGAGGGAGGACTTGGGTGCTGGAGAGGATGGCTGAGCCTAGCACACTCGTGGGAGATCAGCTCTGTGTGGAACAGGGACCCCAAATTCTCTGCCCAAGTCCCAAAGACCCTTGGGGGAACAACAGGATGGGGTGCTGGGGTTGGGGACTGAGGTCTCTACTAGAGACCCCTTTCTTGACCTGACCTTCCCAGGTTCCGCCCCAGCCTGAAGGAGAATTCCTGGGGTGGCAGTGAACAAGCCGCCTGCCCCCTGCCCCCAGGCATAGGTCAAGGCCTCTTTGCTCCTTCACTGGTACCCTGGCCCTGCTTACAAAGGTTCCTCACTGAGTGCTAAGAAAATAGATCCATTTGAAAAAGGTTCCCTCCAGCCAGGCCAATGAGGAGCAACATGGCAGGACGCCTTTCTACCATATGCAGGTCTCCCCCAAAGTAGATGGGACAACTTCCTGGGAGACCAAAGTCTTCCTGCTATGTATTTTCTGCCACGGTTCTGGGGTCCCCCAGGGGTGAGGCAGTGCCCGATGTCTCAGAAGCTGAGTCCAGGTCCTGAGGACCCCAGGGTGCAGAGACCTCACCCCCTGGGTCAAAAGTCGCTAAGGATGCTGATATCAGCAAAGTCAGCCCGGTAGCGGTGAGCATAGAGGCTGAGCAGGAAGGCCCACTTGAAGGCAATGAAGCTCCAGACGCAGGACAGGTAGTAGCTGTTGGGGTCGGTGAGGCCTGCAGGGGAGAGGAGCCGGACTGTGACTCGAGAGGCCTTGCCCTTTCCCAGCCCCGATCCCACAAGCCTGGGGGCACCTCTCCCCAACCTCCAACAGAGGCCGAACCAATCCTACAGAGACACTGAATATGACACGTCAGAGTTTGCGCGCAGCAGGCAGTGCCAGTCACAGGTGTGTAGCATCTAGTCTGCTTTTGTCACTTTTACCCTAGGCCACTTGCAACAGGCTTTCGCATCAGATTCCCTAGGGGCAGGGACAAAAGCCTTTGGCTCCTTGCCAGTTGCAGCCAGCAGGGGGCACTCCCACCCCACCACACAGTGCTTCAAGGAGCCTGCAGGGTGCATTGTGCTCAGTACTTGTCAAGCATTTCTTTGAACCCTTCCAACCCAGGGGATGGGTACTCTTGTTCAACTCACTTTAACAGCGAGAAAACCCAGGCACAGGTGGTTACGTGATGTGCCCAGTCCTTGGATGTAAGCTTTGGGACCGGACCGGAGTCTTGGTCCACTCCGGAGCCCCACATCGGCCCGCCCACACCTCCCCCTCCAGAACCGGCCCTCACTCTGGTGCCCGGTGATGGCCAGCGCCAGGAAGGTGCAGAAGGTGGCAATGGAGACAGCCGAGAAGAGGACACCCACGAAGAAAAAGCCACGCAGCCCCTTGAGCCAGGTCCTCCAGTAATCCTGCATGTACATCACGTGTGTCACTAGGACCCACAGCGCCAGCACACCTGTGGGACAGACTTGGTCAGAGGGACAGACAGCAGTTCCCCTCTCCTCTTCCCTGCCTCCAGCCGTGGACCCCGGGGACCCCCAGGGCCCTTAAGGGCCCTGATAGGTCAGACCAGTATTGCATAATAATACTAAGATGGTGTTGGTCTCTTCAGTCTCATTCTCTGCTAACATCACTAGGACCTGAATGCAAAAGTAGATAAGAGAATCCATCTCTTATTAAGCCACACAGTAAAGAGGTTGGCAAAAATAGAAAACCATACCATTCTCCCTAACTTTTTGTTTGTTTTGGAAAACAAGATTACTTCCCCCTCCATACACATACAATGTTACTTGTGTTAATGCAATGCTATTTTTAATATTACTTTTAAATCCTTAAAAATGTTCTGAGCTTTAATTTCTAATATGGTACATATTGATAGATCTAACCCATATCAACAAAATTTTCTTGGTGTTTCACTCCCTTTCGAGAGTGTAAAGAGGTCGTGAAATTGTAAAGTTTGAGGAGCGCTGCAGTCCAGCCTGCTTTTCCAGGGACTTCCCGCTCTGTGAGGGCCACAGATGTGGGGAGCAGCCCTTCCGCCCTGATGCCCCTCTGCCCGCCCCACAGGGGCCACAACCTCAAAGTTTCAAGACCCTGCTCGTGGCCATACTCCATGTCACTCCCCCCAGTTTGCTGCAAAGGGCAGGCCAGACATCCCCAGCCTGTCCTGGGCCCACCCTCTGGGCCTGGCTGGGCACTTCTCCTACAAGGCCAGCTGCTGCTCAGCCGATACAATGAGCGCGCTCTGTGCCAGGCCGTTCCTGCCTCACAGCCCAAAGACTGGAACAAATATCAGTTCCACTGGCAAGGGTCTGGAACAGGCCTGCAAGGTCCCCGTAAGAGAGGAGTGAGGAAAGGGGCAGGGCCGGCCGCCAGCCTGGTGGGTGTGGGCCACACAGGCTGGGGGTCCTCGGAGGCAGAAGACCTGTGCAAGTGTGCACCGGAAGGATGGGCATCTGGTTGGAGAAAGTGGTTGGTTATCTGTGGCAAGAAAGAGAAGAAAGGGAAGTTGACAGAGAGGTGGGGGTGAGACAAGTGCTTTGACTGGGTCTGTGATGTTTTCTTTCTTAGGCTGGGTGGGTAGGAGTGTAAGAGAGTTTGTTAAATGATCTATCCTTTTTCACATGCCCAAACTATTTCATAATTTTTTTTCTTTAAGTTAGGGAAAACAAAAGGCAAAGGGGAGCATCATCAGGGAACTATGCTCTGGTTACCAGCTGAGATGTTGTCACAATTCAGGCAGCCTGGCAAGGGACAAAAACCACGAGACTGCGAGCCAGGAAGCCTGGGGCCTGGCACTGTTGTGCCGCTCGTGACCTCTCCGAGCCTTACCGTTTCAAATCTAAAAATGGGCAAGCCCAAAGGTCCCGCCGGTATGGAAACTTGGCGACTCGAGGTTCCAGCCCAGTGAGGGTGCAGCCCGCCAACCCCTGCGGCTCCCCCCGCCACGCCGTTTCACCCACACTCTCCCAGCTCTGCCCCTGCCCGCCCCAACCTTCCTCCGGGGCTGAGGGCCTGGAACGTGGGTCCCTCCTCCCCTGAGATCAGGATGAGCCCAGACAAGCCTCCCTCCATCCAGCCAAGGCAGAAAGTGGGAGCGGGCCCGAGGTGGACAGGGCAGCAACCCCACAGCTTCAGCCTACATCTTACGTGGTCTGGACTGTGGGCCAGCCACCCTTCCCGCACTTTCCCTATCTTCGCCCAGGCATCCTAAGTGTTCATCTGGGGGAGCCGTTTGGTTTCATAAAGGGCCCTAAGGAGGAGACATTGTCACTGAGTGCATTTGAGGAACAGTCAGTCACCCGAGCCCTTGTCTGGGACTGCCTCAGTTGTCATGTGTCTCTTTAATATGCCACGGAGGGGCTGGAGTAGAAGAGCTCTAAGATCCTTTGCCACTGAAAGATTCTAGAAGCTGGCTCAGGAGAAAAATAAAGAGGTCAGAGCAACTCCTCTGTGACTCAGCAATTTCTGGGTTAGGAAATGCTGAAACAGGGGCCTATGGAAATGCCTCTCTTAGTCCACTGGCCATGCTCCAGCAATGTCCCCAAAACACCCACCCCCACATACACCCATGTACCCAAAAGGGCTGAGCAGGAGGAAGAGGAGCGTGGCCATCTTGGGTGTTTCAGGTCCCAGTTCTTTGTTAATAAGCAGGTATAGCCTTCCTTACCTCTCACTTCCCCTGCACATAGGCCTCACCTCCAGAGAAACACAAGCCAAGTCGGGGGGCCAGTCCATTCTCACCCACCCTGGCACTCACCCCTTTCCGTGGAAGAGAGACCTCCCCCGCCAATTCCACCCAAAGGTGTTCACTGGTCCCCTCAAGCAGGAGGCAACTGTCCCTCAGCCCTGCTCCCTTCCCTAGGATACTCTGGGTGCCAGGACACGTGGTCTGCACAGTTCAGCACAGAATGGATAGGTTCCCAGGCCCACCCACCTGTATGTCCCTGCCAGACCTCACCCCCCACTCCACCCAACTGCTTCACTCAGGGCTCATAAACAGGCCAAGGGCAAGCGAAACTGTCCCCAGCAGCTCAGTTGGAGGTGAGGAGAAGCCCAGGAGAACGCAGAGGGAAATGCAGACAAGCGGGACACACGCCGGGCCTGGGCCCTGCTGTGTTCTTACACCCGTGCCCTCCACCCCTGCCCTGGAGAAAAGCAAGGCCCAAGCCCCAGGGGTCCCCTTGCTCGTGGTGGGAAGAATACAGAGCCATTTCGATTCCTGGGGCAACTTTTCTACTCTTGTTCTCTTTTCTTGTCTGCTAGATGTAGATCAGGAGTGTGTGTTTCCCCAGGGTTCCCACAGCAAAACAATTTCTTCTGCAATGTCTTTCCTCCAAGCCTCCTCTTCCCAGACACCACCAGGATGGGAGAAAGCAGGACTCCACCTGTGAATACTCTTCCTGCTGGATCCAGGGGCTCCGCGCTCACCCTGACCCAGAAACCAGCATCCACATCGGCCACTCTCTGGTACCTAGAGACAAGGAACACACTAGGGCTGCCTTCTGGTGACTCGGCAGTTTCTGAGCTAAAAAATGCCAAGTCAGAAGTGGGTGCTCACAAGTCAGTAAATCTGCTGATGATTCACCCCCAAAAGAGGAAGAAGTCTGACTGGCTACAGACTTCTCGGAGCCCCCTCAGTGTGGAGAGGGCACGTGCGTAGCTCTGGCCTGGCAGGCCCTCCCTCGCCCCACCACAGCACCAGCACCAGCACCAGCACCAGCACCAGCACCAGCACCAGCACCAGCACCCGCAGGCAACTTTGGCTCTTCCATGGCTACCTCCTGGCTGTCCAAGGCCAGACTGTCAGAGACGTACCAGGACCCTGCTCCAGCTGGTTGTTGCCCTAGTGCCTCCCCTGCAGGCAACTCCACAACTGGCCTGCCTCAGAGGGAAGCCTGCGGCAAGGGAGAGGGCAGAATTTGGGTCAGAGGAAAACCCCCGGACTCCCTGGAGCACAAACCAGAGGGCCTGTTTCATGGCTCTCCAACAGGCAGCTGTGAGAAGAATGAGAGAGGACACAAATTTGCAACATTTCAGACCTAAGGCCGGGGTGGGGGTGGGGGGGGTGGTCTCTGAGACCATCTCCTTCACTGGCATCTCCTCCCACTCCTTAAAGATAAAGAAACTGAGGCCCAGGAGGACTCGGTGGGCCCAAGGTCACGCAGATAGCTAGGGCTCTGACCCAAGGATGGCCCTCCGTCCTCTCCCCAACCAGCCCCTCATCTCAGGTCTTATCTGTGCAACCAGAGGGCCTGGCCTGAAGACACCGCCTTTCCGAGGGGAAAGCAGCAGGGCAGACAAGAAACAGGAAAAAATTGTAAGGAGAAGAGAACCAGGAGAACCAGGAGAAACGGGGTAGATGGTGACAGTGCAGGGGTGGGGGGTGGAGAGGAGTCAGGGGTCAGTAGACAGGTGAGCAGAGGTGGCCTAGCTGTCCCCAGAGAGGAAAGAAAGCCGCAGGTGGTGGGACATCCAGGCAGGCACAAGAGCATCCCAGCCAGGGCACCCACCACCCTTCCTTGGTGACTCCCCAGTGCTATGATTGGCATCGCTTAGGCTGGGGCTATGTATGCCCCCTTATAAGGTAGAACGCTCACCTCCCATTCCTTCTCTACTCGGGGATGGCTCTCAGTAAGCTCAGGGGCAATGAGTAAATATGTCATTAGTCCATTTAGGGCTCTTTGGGCAGAGGGTTTTGGTAATGGAATAAGATCATCATATGTAAAACCATTATCCTTACATGTATTCCACCCCCCCCCCCAAGTTCATTTCCTACATATACTATTTCTTGTAGCTGTGTAACCCGGACAAGCTATTTATTTACTCCAAGCCTCAGTTTAAGCCTTATCTGTAGCACGGGCACAATAATAATGCCTATTTCACAGGACTGTAGTAAGGGTTAAATGAGAGGATGGAAGCAGATTGCTTAACACAGCGCCTGATGCATACAAAGCATTAAAAAAAAAAAAAAGTCAGCAAGCAGAATGTTTCATCTTCACACCAGTTTTACAACACAGAGAGGTTAATGAAATGCCCAAAGGGTGCACAGCGGGTACAGATCACTGGTGAGCACCTTCCACCTGAGCACTGCTTTTCTCACTCTGGTCCTTGCCTCCCCTTCTTCCCTCCTTGAGGCACAGAAAGGGCAGCCAGGGGTGGGGAGTGGGGGGTGTTTAGCAGATTATTGGGAGAGAAGCCGCGGCACAAGGGTGGCAAAGAGACACCAACGTGGTGGAAACAGAATGCCCAGTTTCCATCAAATCCCTAGCGTGCTCCTCCAGGTCTCCACTGAGGACTCTGCTCGGGTACGGTCCAACTAGAAGGAGGCAGGTGGGCTTCCCCAGGCACCCCCAGCCCTCCTTTCCACTTACCCCTCCTTTGCCCTCACCCTAGTTCCCAAGGAAGAAGTGACTGGGGCTCCGGACCCTCCAAAACAGGTGTTTGGGTGTTTGTGGGGGTAGGGGGCGGTTCACACTTAGCGCAGGGAGGAGGCTGTCATAGGGCGGCGGGCGGATGCGATCCCACAGGCGTGTGCAAACCCGAGAGGTGGGACGCTGGCACCCGGGGTAGCGCCGGGGCTCGGAGGGCATCGGGTGCCGGGGGCATCGGGTGCCAAAGGCACCCGGAGAATGCTCGGGCCGCGGGAGGCCCGCGCTGCCAACGGATGTTTTTGGGTAAACACCCCACCCGCTCCCCGGGGAAGCGCCGCTCGCGAGGAGCCTTGGGAGCAGAGCGCCTCCCCGCCAACCCCCCGCGCCCCCCTGCAGCCCCGCAATCCAGCCCCAGAGCCCCCCGCGCCTCGGGGTACCTGCGAGTCCGCCCATAGCCGCTGTCCCCGGCTGGCTGTAGACCACCGTCCAGACGAGGAAAATGGAGAAGCCAGCTACGGAGCTGAGGCCAGAGTAGGCGGCGCGAAGGCCGAGCTGCAGGCGAGACGGGGCCATGGGCTGCGGGCGCCGGGCGTGAGGGCGAGCACAAGGGAGAGTCACAGGTGCAGGGCCCGGATCCGGAGCCGAAGCCGGGAGCCGCCAGCCGCCCGGTGCTCCGCCCAGGCCCACCCCCTGCGCCGCCTGCACAGCGCCCTCCCCGGCCGGAGGCCGGCCGCGCCCGGAGCCGCAGACCGTGCGTCCCGAGTTTGGCACCACCAGGTCTTTGGGCTGTCTGATACGCAGGGGGATACCTGGTAAAAAGACAGATTCCGAGTTTATCCTGAGACCTAACTTACCAGACTATTTGGATACGGGCGGGGAGCGGCCATACATGTTTATAGAAACCAGCTGCGGTGACTGCTTTTAAAATTTAACGTCTGAATAGGAGACACGTTCCCGTTTAAAATTTGAGATTTAAATTTCTCGTTAAAAATTAAAACATAAAAATTAAGAAACGTGAAAGTACACAATAAGTATGATTCCTTCCATCCTGCCCTTATCAGCCAGGTTCCCTCCCAGACTTCCTTTAAGCATCCTCAGAAGGTACTTCACACTAAAGTTTGAGAATCCCTGCCACCACCACCTTCTAACCTTGATACCTGCCTGACCCTCACTGACAGCTGTCCTTTCCTTTCATCTCCAGAAGCCTCATTCTGCCGCCCTCCCCCTGCCCTCTTCCCGCAATCCCAAATCACTACCAAACATCACCTCCATCCTCAGAATCAGACAATTCTAGAGAGTGGAAACTATAGCAGGAATATATTGAGCTCCTAACGCAGGTCCAGCTTCCTGCCTGGAGCTGGAAGGGAAAACCCCATCTGGCACAGAGTCCTCAAAGCGCTTGGAATCTAGCTGTGGAGGCCCATCACATACCTGCACAGAATAAGTTGCCAGTATCCCTTGTACTCATTTCTTTTTGCTGCTATAACAAATTACTACGAATTTAATGGCTTAACATAACAGACATTTATGATCTTATGGTTCTGTAGACCCAAGAGTAAGTCTCCCTGGGCTAATGCGAAAAAGATGGCAGGACTGCCCTCCTGGAGGCTCCAGGGGAAAAGCCAGTTTCTTGCCTTTTCCAGCTTCTAGAGCCAACCACATCCCTTCATCTTCAAGCTAGTACACCACATCACTTTGACCTCTGCTTCTGTGGTCACATCTCCTCCTCTCTCACTGACTCTGCTCCCTCCCTCTTGTCCCTTATAAGGACCCTGGTGATTAAGAATCTAGATAATCCAAAATAATTTCTCAATTATTAGGGGAAATTTCTCAATTGTTGTAAGGAATCATACTTCTTGTATACTTTCATGTTTCTTAACGTGATCTCAATAAGGATCTCAAAATCCTTAATCACATCAGCAAAATCTCTTTTGTCATATAAAGTAATATATTCACAAGTTCTGGGGGCTAGGACATGGACATTGGGGGGGGCATTGTTCTGCCTACCACGCCCTTCTGGAATTAAACTCCACGAGCAGGGACTGTACCATGTTTGTTCACATCAACGCCTAGATGAGTGCCTGGCACATAGTAGTCTCTTAATAAACATTTTTTAAATAAATGAAGGCGAGTGAATAAAGGTAAGCATTAAGTAACAATCATGCACATGAAATCTAGGCAGAGCATGATTAATTCATTGCCAAATGAGTGATGTAAACCAGTGTAAATAAACCCCATTTGCCTCGTTTCAGAATAGTCCAGGAGCTTCTTAAGAAAGAAAAGACCCCAGACTCTGCTCCAAGCCCATTACATTTGAATCTTGGAAATACACACACACACACACACACACACACACGGGCACACGCGCACACACATATTTTTTAATGAGAAGTGATTTTAATGTGGTGAGCTCAGAAACCAGCTCTCCCCTGGGGGCTGCTGATGGAGAGAGTGAGAGCTGGCCGTTCAGAGGTGGGAGCAAGCCCCAGGGTCCAGAGTGCACTGCCAGGGACAGCTTCGGAGCTGGCCGGCTGGGATAACACTGCAGACAGTGGGAACGGCATGTGCATAGACAGCACAGAGGCAAGAAATAACATGTCAGGTTGGGAATTTGTAAGTAGTTTGTGGTCTGTGGGTGGAGCGGTGGGTTTTGAAGTTAGAAATGTTCTAAACATAAAGGGCTTTGAGTGTTCTGCTAAGAAGGCTGTCCCCCTCCCTGAGGAGCCAGGGGAGGGAAGGAAGTAGCAATTCTGTGCTCTAAAAATGCGGCCAGGGTAATCGTGTGAGGGTGAAATGGCAATGAAAGACCAGGAAGCAGAGACGTGTCCTTTACCTCCCTGTGCTTAGTTACCCCACCTGTAAAGTGGGGACAGCAGCGATACCTACTTCAAGCGTGATGAAACATGACGCTTAAAAGAGTGCCTAGCACCTAGCAGGTGCTCAGTAAATGTCCACAAGTATGATTAGTAGCAGCAGAACAGCTGCCATGGCAAGAGATGATGAGGGGAATCTGAAAGATGGTTCAGGCTGAGGGAGTGCGAACAGAAACAGGGAGCTGATTCAGGAGATACTTAAGCTATTTGAACCTTAAAGGTCAGTTCGGGATTAATTAGCTCAGCAGACAGAAAGGAGGAGCGCAAAAATATTATGAGTGGACATAGTAGGAGTATTGGAGAGGAGGGAGCAAACTTGTTATGCTGGAGCATGAGATTGTGCAAGAAAATAATGAGGGAATAATTATGTAACAGTAGCTTGGGCCCAGGTTGTACAAGAATGTTAAGAGGATGCTGAAACTTTTTCTTAACTGTTGATGGGTTTCATAATCAGATAGGGATACTACTTACTTTGTGACCCTGAGCCCGTAATTCAACAGAACTTTCTACCAAAAAAATTTTTTTTCTATATCTGTGCTGTCCAAAATGGTAGCAGTCACATTTGGCTATTGAGTATTTGATATGTGGCTAGCTGAATTTTTAATTGTTTTTAATTTTAATTAAAATAACTACATATGGCTAGTGGCTATTGTATTAGCATGGGAACCTCTCAGAGCCCCTGTTGCTCCATCTATATAATGAGAATGATGATACCTCACAGGCTTGTTGTGATGGTTAAGTTATATTGAGTTTCTGCAGTTAAAGCACTCACCACAGTAACTCAACACATTTTTATTGTTGTTGAAATTGTTACTAATGTTATTATTGAACAGAAGTAGCATGACATAAGCTATGTCTTGGGAAACTTAGTTAGACTGTGATATCCAGGTTAGATTTGATGGGAAAGAAAACTGTAGAAGAGAAGGCATTCACAAGGTTATTTCAGTGGTAAGGTGGGAGTTAATTGAGATCTCACCTGGAGAAAGGCCAAGAGAATGGAAAAGAATGGAAGGATTATGGAGCTACAAGCACATGGATGTGCCCCCTATATTCTTTTTCCCCCATCAGCTTCCTTCCCAAGGTACTTTCAGAAAGCACACTCCCATCCCAACCCAAATCAGATACCGCTGCCCCCCGCACCTCCCAGACAGACAGCCACGTCAATTGCCTGCAGCAGAGACTAATGCCCACCATTAACAGCTCTTCTTCTGGCACATGACCTTCTAAATGTGAACTCTGAACACTTCCCAGATTCCTTGGAGTTAAATTGATGCCATGGGATCAAGTTCTGAGCAACGGAATCAAACAGAAGCAATGTGTATCATTACTAGGCTGGATCCATAAAAATCTCCCATATATCCTCCATTCCTTCTTCCTATTCTGGGATGATTTTAGAGGTCATATGTTATAGACAGCAGTGTCAAATGATGTTGAAAGAATGAATGAATGAATGAAGCAGGACCACCCCTTCCATCCCCCAGACCTTCGTCGGACTGGAACATGAGTGAGAAATGCACCTTTGTTGGGCTAAGGTGCTGAGATTTCAGAGTTGTTTGTTATAGCTAACCTTATTATCCACCACACCATCCTCATTCCACTTCATGTAAACATGTCCTGTATGGCTAACCTGTCTGAACTATCAGTCCCTCTGAAGTCACTTTTGAATTGGGCCCCACCAATATTAAGACAGATTCCTAACTCCCACCTGCAGGGACCTTGCCTCCTAAGACATTTCTTCCTCATTCCCCCACAGCAGGCACATTCCACACATATATCTTCTCCCACGATGCTGTGGCAAGGTTACCCGCGCTAAGCTATATTCCACTTGATTAGATTTGTCAGGGCTTCCTCCTCTCCTTACCCAGCCGGATGCCATCTGGGGCATGTCTTTGTTTTCTATGGCCCCGGCCCCAAACCGAGGCGTCATTACTGAGTCCTCCCCTTCCTTCACCCCTTATGTCCAATTTGTTAGCAAGCACAGCTTGGTCTGCCCTGTCCTGTCCTGCCATTCCCCCGGCCACCACCCTAGTCCAGCCACCATCATCACCTCCGTTGCCCCCTGCCACGGCTTCCCAACTGGCCTTCCTCTGCTCACTCCTTCCCCTCCACTCCATTCTCCACCCAGCAGCTGGTGTGATCTTTAAAAATAACACCCAGAACATAGCACTCCCCTGCGGCAGTCCCTCCAAGAGCTTCCCACAGCAGTTAGGGTGAACTGACCAGGGCTTCGCCAAGTCTCACTAGTCTCGGCCCTGCTCACTTCACGTCCAGCACTCTGGCCTTTCCATTTCTCAAATGTGCCAGGCTTGTTCCTACCTCGGAGTCTTTGTACTTGGTGCCTGGAAGGCTCTTCTCTGAGAGCTCGTAAGATAGATCGCTCACCACTCTGGTCTCAGCTCAAATGTTACCTCCTCAGAGAGGCAACCCTGTTTTAATTTGAAGTATGATCCCTCACCTGACTAATTTCCCACAGCACTTATACTATGTGAAACTGTCTTATGTATATGTTTATCCTTCCTACCCATGCCCCTGCCACCCCATCAGAATATAACCTTAATGAGGGCAGGGGCTTTATCTGTTAGGGACTAACTTCTCTTGGTTTGTCCATGGCTCTCCTGGTTTAACCACTGAAAATCCCGTGTCCTAGAAAATCCATCAGTCTAGAGCAAACCATGATGGTTGGTCACCTGATTTCCTGCCTTGATCACTGCATTCCCAGTACTTAGACTAATGCCAGGTGCATAGGGTGATCTCAATATATACTTGCGCAATGAATCAAGAAAAGAAAGGCTGGTTGTGCATAAAG